GGGGGCACACATGTTGGGGCATACATATGTCACTGTATAAATGTAGAAGTCAGGGGACAATTCTGTGGAATTAGTTCTCTCCATCTATCCTAAATGGATTCTGGGGTTAAAAGTCAGCTCATGAGGCTTGTAAAGCACCTTTACCACTAAGCCATCTTGTCAGCCCTAAAAAAAAAAAAACTTACGGGTGTGTGGTGTATGCGTGTAGTACATGAACACATGTGTGCAGCTGAGCGGTGTTCTGCTCTGTCACTCTCCATCTTATTCCTGTGAGACAGGATCTCTTCATGGACCTGGAGCTCATTGACAGCAAGCAAGCTCTAGTGACCCCTCTGTCTCCATCTCCCAATGCTAGAGTTACAGGCCCCACATGCCTATGCCAGTCTTTCTATACAAGTGCTGAGGATTCAAACTCAGGTCTTCATGCCTGCAAAGCAAGTACTCTTACCTCCTGAACCAGCTCCCCAACCCCAGAGATGGCTTTAAAAGTCACTTACAGCATCATAAATGACCTCCACAGGCTGAGACTGAACAGTCAGTGTCTGGTCGGCCAGACTGTTCTCAGGATTGGTTTCAAACTCAATTTTGAGCAAGGACGATGCTGTATCACCAATTGAAGCCACAAGTGATGGCACAATATCTTGCTGTCTCAGACCAGTGATGTACCAATGTTCTAATTTTGCTTCTATCCTATCCAATAAAGAAAAAGCAAGAAACATAATGGGTTAAGTTATAAATATTCCTTTAAAAACTTCTCTAAGAATCAGGCCCATGCCAAAAGTTACACTTCACCCTCTTAGTCTGGACTTCATTTACCCACACAGCCTATTATTGCTGACACTGCTCTTGACCACCACAGGAAAAACTCACTTTAGTCAAGCCCAGCCCACTGTACAAAAACACAGTGATCACATCTCCCTGATTCCGTGCCACCTCACATCCTCTACCTCCCTCATCCTGTCTCTTTCAAAATCTCTCCCATTCAGGTGGCCTAAGCCTCCTACATCCTCAGTTACACTCTCCCACAAGTGGAAACTATGAGGTATTTAATTCCCCAGCATCTTCGCATGAGAAGGTGCTAATATGTCATAGTGTTCTTGAATTAACTTTTTGCATCTACTCATCAATTATAGCATAAGTTTTTTGAAAACTTTTACTATCCACACATATAGATAGCTGCCACAGTACAAAAACTACAGATCAAATACTATCCGATGAATGTTTGAAGGAGAGGATAAAAAAAATAATGAAATACACAGTTCCACAATAAAACAAAGCAAATATAAAAACACTATTCTGAAAAAAAAAATACTATTCTGGCGTACACAAACAAAAGAAATGAAACAAAATCTATTTCTGTCCAGTTTTTTAATCGTAAGATTATATATATTGAGCCTAAAGTCATGAAATCATAAATAAAAATTAAAATTAAAATAAGCTTTAAAAAAACTTACTTAAGTGCTTGTGCTCCTGGTCGCTGGGAAACTTGGGTACCCAGGCCAATTACCTGAATTTTCAGTATTTCTGGAATGCTTCTGTTTTCTCTTATTACAACAGAGGTGCTCACTAATTTCAGAGTCAATATATGGGCAACATACTAAACAGAAAAACAATGAATGAAATCGTTACCTTTGTTTCTTCTTAAATAAAATGAACTATAAAATGATTCACCAAACCATTGTAGGTCTAGCATCCGTTTACTCATCATGAATGAAGACCACTAGAAGACCCAATGAAATCATCTACTCTAATACGAGTACAGGGGTGGATATGCTCAAATACATTGCATACATGTATGAAATTCCCAAAGAATAGATAAATAAAACTTAAAAATAAACAAAATGAAAATGCCTGCCCATCAAAAGATAGAAACAAGGAAATAAAAATGAACATTGTATTCTGGAGGAAAACATTTCAAAACAACTAAATGAAAAGGCAAGCTACATTAGAAAATAGTCACAGTTCATCTAACTAGTAAAGGCCTCATATACAGAATACAAATAGAATTCCTAAAAAACAATATGAAAAAGAGAACCTAATACTAGAAACCAAAGAAATGATGACTGTAACACACAGGACACTGGAAGAGACAGGAGGGGCTTCTACTAGAGTGCAATACTCTAAAAACTGACACTGAGGTCCCTACATGCCAAGTCCCTTTTTAACCAATCAAAAAAGCAGGACATTCGGGGTTTGTTCACTCTTGCCACGAGTTAAATTTCACAATAAAACTATTTTAAAGACTCAATTGAACACTATAGTAAGAACTTGTATAAGGTAATTCTTCAATCCATTAAAACAACTAAACCTAAAGTTGAAGAATTTTAACTGGTAAGGCCTCATGAACAATTAAATGGTAAAGTAGAAACTAAGGATAACACATTTTTATTAGTTACTTAAAACATCAATAATTTTAAAAAAAATCAATAACTGAGGCTGGAGAGATGGCTGAGCAGTTAAGAGCACTGACTGCTCTTACAGAGGACCCTGGTTTGGTTCCCAGATCCCACATGACAGGTCATAACTGTCTATAACTCCAGTTCCAGGAGATCTAACACCCTCTTCCAGCCTGTGAGGGATGCATGTGGTAGCCATACATACACAAAAATATTAAATTTTTTCTAATCAATAACTTGCTTAGCCTAACTTAAGAGAATAGAGCAACATGAATCAAGACACACATCAAGCCACCACGACAGTTACCTGCTTGGGTAAAGTTAAGTTGTAGCTGCTTTCACTATAGCCAATAGCAGTGAAGAGCTTATCTTTCTCCTCTGCAGTCATAAGGTCATCAATAGCTGTGAGGAAGAAACAGTGACTCAGCAAGGAATGGCTTCAGTTTTACAAATCAAAAACTCCAAACACAAAACCAGCCACGTAATTCCTGCTAATGAACCACTCTGATTAGCTAAAACAAACAAACATCCTGTATTTGCCTATTTGGATTAAGAAAAGGCAAAAAGACACTACACTATTAAGGAAATTCAGTTCTCATATATTGGAATTTTTTAATCCCTAAAAATTTTCAAAACTTCATGAATCATTAAATATCCTTGTAAAAGTTAACAAAAATGTGGAGACTTCTAAACTTGAGCATTTTAAATTTCACACAAGTAATTTTTCTCAAGAAAAATCAATGCTTTCTTTCAAGTAGATAAATGAGGAATTTAACTAGCCTGCCACAGTGCTTATGTGTTTCCTGTACTGAGCAAGATAAACAACATTTGCATAGTTTTTTTCTTAGTAACATATAATGAACAACCTGACTTAGAACTTACTTTCAGGAATCAATGATTCTTCATCTTTTTTCTTAGACTCTTTCTTTCCCCAAAACCCACTAAACCAGCCACGTTTCTCGCCTGCCTCAGCAGATTTTTTCTTTAATTTTTGCCCAGACCGAATCACCTAAAAAAAAGAAAAACTCAAAGTTAATTCAAAATAAACATGCTGTAAACTTTAGGTGTAACCAGGTCAATTTTTTAACTACAGTAGAAAAAACAGACAAGAAAACCAATTCTTTCTAAAATATTGCTCACAATACAGTCTACATAACACAGTCTGCTATCAATTTACCTCCTGCAGAATTTGAGGAGCAGCAGCATACTTAGGGTCTCCAGTAAAATTTTTCTGTGTATTATAATGTGCAAGTATTGAAAATACCACTAGAATTGCAGGCTTATAAAATAAAAAGATTCTTAAAAGCAAGCTGTTTCTTTACCCAAAATATATTAGTTTAAAATAATCATGTATCAGAATTCACACATATTATTGGTTTGCTAACTTGTACAAGGTGGGAAGGAAGGACACTGATAAAAGCAGATAGTCCTCAAATTCCATGTATCCTCTTTCCTCAATAAATCCTAGATTGTTTTCCTATTCCTTCTTTTGCCTACTTTTCGAAAAGCATAAAGCAGGGTTAAGAAAGACAGCCTAAACTCTACCTTCCCATTCCCTAAGTAAACTTCAATGATCTTCTAACTTCACATTTAAAGAATTTTAAATTTATAACAAATTAACATTAAGTCTATGTGTACAACAAAAGGTAAAACAATCCAAAACAGAATTGAAATAAAAAATTATATTCCATAATGAGGTCAGGTTACTGAATATAAAGACTAAGTACAGTCCTAGCCTGAGAACTGTTGGAGACTGATTGCTGCTACTAGGAGAGGGAGACGAGACCTTCCTTAAGCTCTCTAGATAGCCTGAATAGACTCCAATGGATGAACCTGCACTGAAGGACATCTGGGTAAAATGCTTGACCAGAAGGGACTTAACATGTATGATAGAATATATGAAGTCCAGTGTAGAGGGGATATATAGGGGTATGGGTCGGGGAGGGGGTCTTAATTTGATTAAGAACTGTTTGCCTGAGTCATGATATACTGTAAAAAAAATAAAATAAAAAAAAAAAAACCTGTTGTTTGAAATGTACAAAAGCTCTGGGACTGGAGAGATGGTTCAGTGGTTAAGAACACTTCTTACAGAAGACCCAGGTTTGAATCTCAGCACCCATCTGTACCTCCAGTTCTAGGGGGATCCAATGGCCTCTTCTGTCCTCTAGGGACACTACATGACACAGGTGCACTTACCTACATGCAGGCAATACATGCATATACATAAAGCAAAAAATAATAAAGCTCTGGGACTGGAGAGATGGTTCAGTGGTTAAGAACACTTCTTACAGAAGACCCAGGTTTGAATCTCAGCACCCATCTGTACCTCCAGTTCTAGGGGGATCCAATGGCCTCTTCTGTCCTCTAGGGACACTACATGACACAGGTGCACTTACCTACATGCAGGCAATACATGCATATACATAAAGCAAAAAATAATAAATATTTTTTAAAAAGGTACAAAAGCTCGATAAAATTTTTAATTTTTTTAACGTTTACAAAAACTTTATTGAGAGTTTGATACATGTATATAAGGTGTTTTGATCAAATCCATGCCCACTCCCTCCCCTCCAACATTCCCTCTCTAAAGAGGTAACCCTAAAATCTTTTAAGATTAGATACAAGCTCCCAAAAACTTTTGACATTTTTGGCCTTTGGAAGAGTATGTTGCTAACAGGCCCAAAAAAAATATTTTTAAAAAAAGACTAAGTAGGGGCTGGAGAGATGGCTCAGCAGTTAAGAACACTGGCTGTTCTTGCAAAAGACCTGGGTTCGAATCCCAGCACCCACATGGCAGCTAACAACTGTCCGTAACTCCAGTTCCAGGGGATCCGACAGCCTCTTCTGTCCTCCGCAGGCACTGCACGACACAGGTGCACTTACCTGCATGTAGACAGTACATGAATACACAAAAAATAAAAATAAAATATTTTTTTTAAAAAGACTAAGTTTGGGGAACACATTCAATGTTTGTTATAAGCTACATATTCAGGCACTGAAAAGACATGAAATAGATAAGGATATCCCGATATATCCAAAATATGGTATTTCCACCTTGCATTAACATATGTGTACATTTTATGTTTATATTATACATATTTTATAAACATTTATACATATATGCACATGTGTCTGTGTGTGTTAATGTGTATCTAGAGAGACAGAGACAGAGATAGAGGCAGTTAGTCAGTCCAAAAAGGAGCCACGAGAGAAGAGAAAGAAATTAGGGCTAAAAAACCATTTGAGCAACTGCTGGCTGAAAGAACCCCAAATGTGGTTGGTCAGATACGTGCAGGCTGCCCATTCAGGTTCATCTGTCAGGTGGTCACTCTCGTCCCTGAGACTCTTCTCCACCTGGATCTGTAACTGTGTTAATACAGTTCCCTCCTATGCTTCGGGCAGCCCCTGCACTGCCGCCTTTGAGCTCTTCCCATCTCTCTGAGGATGAAAATTGCTTTGGGTCTCTGGAACTCCCCCAATTCCTAGGGTGAGCATCTTATCTCGTACCTATACACTAACCCTTTCTGAAGTTAGATCCACCACAGGCTTATCTTCTAAACTCCACACTCACATTCCAGCATCTAATATGAACTCCGGATCTTCTCCCACCTCATGTAAGCTGTCTTCTCCATCTCATCTGATGACAAATCTATACCTTCAGTTCTTTATGAGAAAATAACCTTACTCTCTTTGACTCTCTCACAGCTCTACATTTATGTAGGAGTGACTTTTATAAAATGGGTATCATCTGACTTTTAATTAACCCCAGCAAAACCAGGTGCTCTTATGTCTTGTGACCTGGGCATATGATCTTGTTTCCTTGGCAACCTCAATTTGGTACTCTGCCCAAAAGGATACTAACTGTGGGTATGCTTGAGAGCATATGAAAGAACTGAAATCAGTGAACCCCTCTTTCATTGCACACAGTGAAGACTGGAAAGGATGGCAGACCTTGGGTGAAGGAATATTCTAGAATTAGCAATGAAAAGGCAGAACAGTCTGTTAAGATTAGGGTAGAACCAAACTTGTACTTCCCCAATTGAAGCTGCAGAAACCATTTTGAATAAAATCGTGGGTGGGGCCTGACTCAGTTCCAGGAACAGAATTCCAGATTCTAACAGGTGTCCTCAGAGTCCAGGCCCACTCTTAGAAACTAAATTTAAAAGTCCATCTTTTTGTTCAGGTAATTGTAATGTTGGCATAGTAACACCAAACATTTACATCAGCAAATATGGGTTCTGCCTTCAAAATATAATATAGGGTCTGACACATTTTATCACCTCCACTGTAACTATTCTCAGCCAAGCTACTGTACCTCTTGTCACAGTTACTTCAATAGCAATGGTCTGTCTCCCTGATCTTACCCTCATGCTCTCCTACAGCCTGTATGCAAAGCAGCCAGAATGAGTTCTAAAAGACATCAGATTACAACAACCTATTTCTCAAAAATCTATTAATGACTTGCCAATTCAGAGTAAAAGCCTAAATAAGATCCTCCACCATGCGGCAATCTCCCCAAGTTCCATTCCCACTACTCCACTTCCTTATCCAGCAATTACAACAGACATCACCCTCCCCTCTCACAGCTCCAGTTATAATGCTCTCTGAATGAACCAGATGATCTCCCAGCCCAAAGTCCTTAAAGCTGTTGTATTTCCCTTTCTTCTTTCTGCCTAGTTCAGCTCTGCCCACAGACATCTTTCTGGCTGGTACCTTTGTCCTCCTCAGGTCATTTCTGAGTGACCCTGGCCCCTTGTGTAAAATTTCAGTCTCAATTATCATCCCTGCCTAGCCCCGGCTCTCCATATTCCTGCCTATTTCATGTTTAATTATAGATTTATTATCCTTCTCTTCTCACTGGTAGGTGAAGAAGGGATTTTTTTTCTGTTTTGTTTGCTTCCATGTGTTACTACAAATGATATTGAGGAGGAAAAATATCACATTACCGCAGGCAAGGCACATAATAAACTGTTCTTTAAATCAATTATTACATATTCCTCACAATATCCCATGTGATGCAGGTACCATTTCATAAATGAGGAAACCAAAGCACAAAGAGGTAGAAGAGCTAGCTCCAAATCACAGAATCAAGTAGACTGTAAAACTAGGACCATCTGGCCCTTGGGTCCACATGCTTAACCATAATCTAGAATGATAGAAGTCAGTAAGTTTTGCTAAATAAATCAATAAGTGCATGTGCTTTAACATTGTTAAGGATAGCTGGGTGGTAAAGCATTGGCTGAGCATGTGCAAGGTGAAGGGCTCAATCCCCAAGACCACAAAATGGACTGTGGGCTATGCCTATGAAGCTCTGCATCTACAGAAGGTGAAAAGGAAGTGCAGAAGGCTGTGACAGCAGTCAGGGTCAGGGTCAGGGTCAATGAGTATGTGTGGTGACGACTTCATTCTCTTCTGCTGTCTACATTGTCTAATTTTCTTAAAATGAGCTCTACTTAATTCGCAGTTTATTTTTAATTCTTCAGAAGGAATAGCAGTAACAGAACAATGCACACAAAGTACTAATAAATAAGCAGTTATGAGACAAATATATTCTGATTTTGGAATGGAAGAAAGGAGAGCAGGGGGGCAGGAGGTAGGAAATAAGATGAAAGAGGAAAAAAGAGATGAAAGAAAGGGAAAAAGAAAGTTTTTTAAAGCAATGAGGGGACCAGGAGTGGTGCACACCTTTAATCCCTGCACTAGGGGCAGAGGCTGGCAGATCCCTGTGAGATCGGGGTCAGCCTGGTCAATATACAGTGAATTACAGGCCAGGTGGGCCTACAGAGAGACCCTGTCTCAAAGAAACAAACAAACAAAAATAATGAGAGGATAAAAAGGCTAAGCAGACAGAAATGTACGAGCAAAACCAGAAGTGCGCGTACCAAATGCTAACAGTGAAAGTTCTAAGTTACTAGAGTAATGATAACTTTGATTTACATTTTACAAATTCTTGACCATTTAATTTTAAAGCTTTTCCTTTGCATGTTAGCATTTTTCCAATATTCCAGTTATTTTTCTCAAGAGGCAATGAAGCAGTAAGAACCTAGTTTCTATTCTCATCTGAATAAATCTCAGCAGCTTCTTCCATATAAGTTAGATTTCTTCATCCTAGGTTCAAAGAAGTAGTACTAACATATTTAAAACAAAATAATAGGAAGGATTACCTCAACTTGTGCTTGCTGCCTTACTAAAATTATGTTAAAAACATCTAGGGTCTTTTCCAAGTCCTACAAAACAAAGAGACAGTTGAAAACAAGAGAAATAATCATTAGATCACAAAATATTCTTGTCTATGATTGACAGACTTCTCTAGCCCATTACTAGCCCATTCTAACAGCTAAGGAAGTTATAAGCTGAAAGATACGCTAGACTTTTAAATTTTTATAATAAGAGAAATGGGTTTTTCAAAAGGCTAAATCTTTATTGAACATAGTTTGAAAATAAAGCTTTTTCTGGAGACCATTATAGTTCACAGACAGACATAACTGCATATAGAAAGACGAATGCTTAAGAAGGGGACTTTGCTTAGGTATTCTGTTTTGATCCTTGCCTTTCACTTTCCCTATTCTATACTTCCCTATTCACTATTCTATCACTGCAAAACAAAGAATATAAATTATACAAGTCAACAGCAGACTAAGAGAGAAACTGAAATGGGGAGTTTATGTAATTGTGTAGAGAAAACTTCCCATTACTGGGTGACCTGTATTTTACATAATTCATGTATTGTTCTCATACAATCCCTCACAACTCTGTGAGACCATTTTCTACATGAGAACAAACACCATATTTGAGCTGAAAAACTTGTGTCCAAGACCAGCACGCTCGAAAATATCCAAGTGCCTGAATCCTAATCTTTGACTCCAGCACCTATGCTTTTCTTCATGTGACTGTCACATGTTTCAGGGCCACAGGAATCCAACACATTCTCACATTCTGCACACCATGACTCAATGGCAGAAATTTCTGAAAACTGAACTAGAAAGTATCAAGCAAACGATGTAATCGGGGGCAAGTAAGACTCCTAGCTTTCTCAAGAAGGAAAGCTGTTTTTTATAAATAATACTTTGAAGTCTAGAAAGGAACACTACCATATAAATATGGGATTTTTTTTAACAAAACAAGATCTAACTAATGAATAAACATCTAAATGGGTCTGAGGTTCGTTTTTTAAATAGTATTAGAAAAACAACACGTTTTCTAAAAGTCTTTGTAGTAATCTTATTTTATGTGATATCAGGCTAGGGAAAAGGGACTGTTGGTTTAAGAAAAGAAAAAATAAGAAACACTATTCTAGTTTTTCTCATATAATTCTTCTCAAAGCAGTAAGTCTGTTCTCTAACTATATTCTGACTCAAGCCTAGTGCATAAGATTAAAGGATGGTAAGACAAGCAGCAATGCTAACATATACACATTATACCTGAATTTGTTTCTGTAACTCTTCTGAGACTTTAGTCTGGGTTAACTTGCTTTTGTAGGCAAGTTTATAGTTCTTGAGTAACTGCCTGTGGTTCTTTATATTAGTCCATGACCACATCTGTGTATATCTTCTTACATGAACTTCAAGAACGGAATCAATTGCATATTTCCACCTAAAGTCAAATTTTGTTACTGAACACATGAATGTACAGGATCAAGAAAACTGCATGAAAATATCTTTGACTTTTCAGAGATCCTACACCATTAATTTTTTTGTTCTTCTTCACGTCATCCAGTAAGACTCCAACAATAACATTGCAAGTCCCAGTACAAGTCTCTGAACATTCTAGTGAAGGAACATTCGAGAAAAGGGACGTGCCAAAGCAAAACCATAAAGACCCAAACAACCCATGTGGTAAACAGCATAGCCATGTACTAGATAACAACTTCTTGGCAAAGAGCAATGAGATTATATAGCCTAGTGATGTCATAGCTGTCTTAGTTCATGTAAGTATACTACATGATGTCACACGACCATGACATCACCTAAAATGCATTTCTTCCAACATATCTCCATTGTTAGGTGATACATGATTACAGGCTGTATTCCACTAAAAGTTATAACTTTGAGTTCATGCAGATGACTGACAAAACTTTTTTAAAATGTTGAAAGCTTTGAATGCTAAGTTAAAAATTTAGGAATCTGGAAGTAGATAAGATGCATTTATGAAAAAAGTGACACACACAGAAAAGACAACATCATTATTATTTGGGGGGGGGTTGGTCATTTTGAGACAGTGTCTCCCTGTAGCCCCAGCTGGCCTGGAACTCACCATGTAGACCAGGCTGGCCTTGAACTCACAAAGATCCCCTGCCTCTGCCTCCCAAGTGCTGGGACTACAGGCGTGCACCACCACACCCGGCTAACATCTTTATTTTTAAAGTGGTTGGACTACGTGTCTTTAAAGTGTCTTAACTCTGAAAGTCCCTACCTATATGATTATATGTTTCTCATAAAATAAAATACAAGGTCTGGGGAGACAGCTCAATGGGTAAAGCTTGATGCCTAAGCATGAGAACCTGAGCTGCATTCCCAGCACCCATGTACAAGGTTGGTGCATGCTTATAACCCCAGTGCTGAGGGCACAGGAAAGGGCTAATAGGTAGAGCTCAGGGACTCCACGGCCAAACAGTTTAGCTGAAACAGAGAGAAGCTGCCTCAAAAAATAAGGCTGAGAAACAATTGAGGAAGACATCCAACATCAATCTCCAGTCTCCACACACACCTGCATGGGCCAAGTGAAAACACACACACACGCACACACACACACACACACACACACACACAAATTTAATTAATTAATTAATTAATTAATTAAATGAACAAATTCTAACTTACCATTGTCGACAATTGGTGTGAAGTGGTAAGCAAGGCTTGTACTTCCTATAAGGGGTATTTCTAAACATATAATCCAGTGACTCCAAAAAATCAATCATACTTAAGTACTATTAGACAAAAACAAAATTATGTATATTACAGAGCACATAGGAATAACAGATTTGATTCTATTTTCAGTCTAGTGAAGCTCCAAAATCCCTAGTAACTCAATAATACTACATATGATTAAACTTGACACTAATTAGGAATTATAACATAATATTTTAATTAAAAAAACATGTTGCTAATTAAACTGACACATCATCAACAATACATATCCCAATTTTTCAGATATTCTAAAATGTATATCAACAAATGTATATCTTAGAAACACTGTATCTCCCAATGATGATGTTGATACTCTGTTTCTAAAAATAGAGGCTTTTCCTCTGGACCACTATTTCAATCACAGCTACTCAAGCTGACTCAAATCACTCCAGAAAATTATCACGTAACTAAAGTGAAATAAAGCTATTTAAGAACTCACTTTATCACCAACACAACTTTTGTGTTGTGTAAACCTGACAAACTGATCAAATGAAAAGGATGTACACAGAGAAAAAGAGGCTAAGAGAGGGAGAGAAGGAGAGAGTGTGTGAATGAGTATGATTGTAGGATCAAATAAAAAAAGGGACAGTCGAGATTCTTCCTAATTTTTCTTAGTGCAATCCTACCTAAGGGTTACCTACAAATGTGGACTATTCAGTACTTGAAATGTGTCTAGTCTAAGCTTAATTTATCATAAAGTATAGCTATGGAAAGGGATATAAAATTTCTTGTTACAATTTAGTCATAATATTTTGAAATAATACTGTAGAAATGTAAGGTTAAATGAAATAAATTATTAAGGTTAGTTTTAAGCTAGGCCTGGCAGTACACATCTATAATCCTAGCATTCAGGAAGCTGAGACAGGTTCAACGTCATCATGGGCTACATACTGAGTTCCAGTCCAAGCAAGACTAAACAGTAAGATATATTCGCTATCTAGACAGATAGATGACTGATAGATAGATGATAGATAGATAGATTAGATTAGATAGATAGATAGATAGATAGATAGATAGATAGATAGATAGATAGATAGATACTTATCTATATCTCTCTCAAAAAATAGGAGTTTATCCTTCAGTAATGCAACTACTAGAAAATCTAAACTTATGGAAGCCATTCACATTATATTTATTGGATAGTACTAGACTAAAAGCTGGTCCACATTCCTGTCCCCTCAGCTCAGTTCTCCAGGTCTGCCATCTGAACCCTTTTGGCATATAACCACACTTGGAAAATAGATGGAGGGGGGGGAAAGTATCAACATAATTGCTCTAAAATTTAAAGAAACAGTAATTATTATGAATGCCTGCTATTAAAAACTGAGAAGGGTGACTGGTGAGATGGCTCAGGGGGTAAGGGTGCATGCCACCAAGCCTGGCACCCTGAGTTCAATCCCCAGAGCCTACACAGTGGAAAGACAAAACTGACTTCCTCAAGTTGTCCTCTGACCTCCACAAGCAGAGGTGCAAATACACAAAAATAAATAAATAAACACATATATACATACATACATAATAAATAAATAAAGGTGACTGGTGAGATGGCTCAGGGGGTAAGGGTGCATGCCACCAAGCCTGGCACCCTGAGTTCAATCCCCAGAGCCTACACAGTGGAAAGACAAAACTGACTTCCTCAAGTTGTCCTCTGACCTCCACAAGCAGAGGTGCAAATACACAAAAATAAATAAATAAACACATATATACATACATACATAATAAATAAATAAATAAATAGTTAAAAATGAGAAGAAAAAGCCGGGCATGGTGGCGCACGCCTGTAGTCCCAGCACTTGGGAGGCAGAGGCAGGCAGATCTCTGAGTTCAAGGCCAGCCTGGTCTACATAGTGAGTTCCGGGACAGCTGGGGCTACAGGGAGACGCTGTCTCAAAAAGACCAAAAAAAAAAAAAAAAAAAAAGAGAGAGGGAAAAAGCACATTGAAATCCTCCAACAATAACTGTGAATTAAAAGAAAATAATGTCATTCACTACAGCTAATAAGATCAAATATTCTGAAAAAGATCAGATTAAAGAAAACCATTTGTTTGAAATGTATTTTTCTTTTAAGATCTGTTTTTCAGAGTCAAATATCAACATAATGAATGACAAGAACAACCAGCTAGAGAAGGAATAATCAGAGATAACTGCAGAGGACAAAAGCAGACAAGAGTCAAGGCTAATGAGAACAGAGCTGTGTGGGAACCTTACCTGAGGTTTGGTCAGCTCTATGGCAATGTTTTGTACTTCTATGTTCCCATCAAGTTTTGGCGTTTTGAGCTCTGTTTCTGCACAAGGATTCATATAGAGTTTGGCAGAGGCTGATATTGGCTGGAAAACTATTACCACATGGGAAGACATAAGTTCTTACATAGGAACAACTGTAATTATGAGAACACTGTCATGACTCTAAGTACATGTAACAAAATTACTATCAGAAAAGTATAAGGATCCATTTATTTGTGCAATATGAATTACCAACCTCACTAGTTACAGAGGACCTGGAGTCCTGCGCTTCTAGGTAAAACACACAAGACCCACAATCCTCATATACACAAAATTTCTCTATAACTTAATGATTTCACTGTTTATTAAAAATACTAAGACAAGGAGGCAAATAAAATTTAATTTCTGTCTTATTTAATCACTGGCATAACTTTTGAAACAGAATCATAAGTAAAATATCATCCTAAGAAAAAAATTACTCACCAGTTTATTATTTTTGAATTGATCATATATGTCATCTTAAGAGTCAACTGAAAATACTCTTGAGAATAAGTAGAAGTAAAAGGAGACTATAGGGGTAATACAGTGATAAGTTTTAACTGTAAACAGTGTTAAAACTATATAGAAATGCTGCCTTATAATAATTACAACTTGCATTAGACTGTGGAAGAATTTTTAAGATTTACTTTATTTTTAATTATGTCTATATGTATGTATCTGTGTAGGAGTGTATGCACATGTAAGTGCAGGGACCCAGGGAGTTAGGACAAGGGCATGAGATCCCCTAGAGCTGAACTGGACTTGGGTCTTCTACAAAAGAGTAAACACTTCAACCTCTAGCCCCAGACTGTGTATAATTTTTAGCTGACTTATAAGTTGTTTATAAATGCCTAAGAATGAAGTTATATACTTTTCTGAACTAGTTCTTTTACTAATGAAAAAAAAAAAAACCTTCCACAATCATTGAGCACTTTAAATTTTTGTCATTACTAAACAGTCTATGAACATAAGAGAGTGTTATCACCCAATGGCAATTAGTTATACAAGAAGCAGAAGAAACCACAGAGAATTACAATAATATGCAGTATGGAAGGAGAAGGCTATGAGAGCTAAGAAGTGATTTATCATTAACCAGTTCACTGAATAAAACAGTTTCTTAGAATGAAACTAAAATGGAGAAAGCAGATAGAATAAATAAATAAGCAGGTAGCTTTGTCAGAGATGTATTTTTGATGTGTGTGTGTGTGTGTGTGCGTGTGTGTGTGTGTGTATGTGTGTGTGTTTATGTATGAGTGTACTGCCTGCATGTGTGTAAGTACACTCATGTTGTGTAATGCCTGTGGGGGTCAGAAGTCATCAGAATCGCTGGAACTGGAGTTACAGATGCTTGTCAGATGGGTGCTGGGAATCAAACCCTAGGTCCGCTGCAAGAGCAGTCAGTGCTCTTAACCACTGGGTCAAGAGATGTGTTTTTGAAATTAAGGAGAGGTTGCCAGAAAATTTAAAAATTCACTTAGAAAAATATCTAGAGTGATTGCTCTTAACATGCTAGGGGTAACCTTAACATTAAGATCCCAGGAATTTCAAAAAGAGGGAAGGAGGGAGGGAGAGAGGGAGGGAAAGAAAGGAGCAAGATTTTTTGTATTCATTTAAATATGATGATCTGGGGCTGGAAAGTTAAGAGCACTGGCTGCTCTTACAGGGAGATAAGGAAGCTACTCCCTAGAACAATGAATACTATATGCTAAAGAGAAAGCATAGAGGTGACAGAAGGCTGCTGCAGGAGTGAGCCACAGCTGCTCTGCCCTTATCTGTCACTCTCCAGGACTAGTTATAAACTAGTCCTAAACACTTGTAATCCAAACATACATAGTTATATAGCCAAATATCTCCAAATGAAGATACAAACAATGCATTCTGTTTGTCAAGGCAATTTCATTAGAAAAGCCTTGTTGAAACATTCAATTTCATGTTTTTCTTAAACACAAATCTACTTTCACTGGTACTCACTGTATTGATGGTTTGGGGGGATGTTGCTGCTCCTAAGTATTTCACATTTCAGCTGATCCTAAACCAAAGATTTACATTGAGAATGAAAAAGAAATATACATTTGCCACCCACACAAAAAAATGAAAAACAAAAAACTCTGATTATCACATCAGCTCCTTCTTTGCTCTTTTATACTGAGCGTGAATTTACAAGTATTTCTCTTTAGAATAAATATACAGAAACATTAAATATTTAGAAATATAATATTGTCCTCCTCTCTAAGAAAACCAACCAACAGTGGCTGGAGAGATGGTTCAGCGGTTAAGAACACTGGTTGTTCTTGCAGAAGACCCAGGTTCAAATCCCACCACCCACATGGCAGCTAACAACTGTCCATAACTCCAGTCCCAGGGGATCCGACAGCCTCTTCTGACCTCCGCAGGCATTGCACACATGGGCACTTACCTATATGCAGGCAATACACGCATACACATAAAATAAAAATAAAATAAAATAAAGAAAACCAACCAACAAATAAATCTATACACACAAATTCCTACTCAAAGGCCAAGAATTTATGTTTCTGTAATCTTGAAATTTATACAATTCAGAAAATTTAACCGTCCTTTCTCCTCTAAGTGAAGTGGCTTAGCTCACTGAAGCTCTGAATTAACCTCCGAACAAGTAGAAAATGACCACCACAGAGGTTTAAATACTTGTACGAGACATAGGCTCTAAGTCTTCCTCACTATCCTTTTGCTGTTCCTCGTATAAGATAGCATAATAAGTGCATCACTGAGGAGCGCAAAGGACCACAGAGGCAGTTGTTAACAGGCTAGTAAACTGTTAAAAACATTCTTCAGAATCAGAAATGCTTTTTTTTTTTTGGAGGAGACAAACTGGGACTTCAAAAATGTTTTCACACTTATGATTCAGTGAGATACAAGTTAAACAGATGACTGATAGCCTATCCCCTTAAGGGCCTCTCTCTTGAAACACTTGAAGGGAGTGTAGTTAAAGAGTTTCTAGGAAGAAACTGAAATTACCAAGATGTGTTCCCTTGATTCATGATAAGACATGTGGCAGTTGACATTCCAGTAGGCACTGAGACTATCGAGTCTTATTAGCTATAAAAGAAAAGTAACAGTGGTCAAGAAAGAAGCACACTGAAATTATAAATCAATGTTTAGTGACTGTTCTCATGTTCATTACTCCAAAACTGGCAAACTGAAATTCTGATCTTTTAAAGGAAAGAAAATAATACAAAAATGAAGGGAAATAGATCCTTAAGATTTTTAGTTTACATTTGTTAAACTGTGTTTCCGGGAACATAACTTCCTAAAGGTTCATTCATTTGATTATTAAACACTGAGAATTTAGTAGTTTTCAGACTTGTAACTGTCTGCTGGATAAGAGAAGGTAGACTCCCTCCAGATACCACTGGCTGCTCCTGGGGGAGGGGTGGTGGGAAAGGATTTTAAGATCAATAAAGTGGGGAAAGCTACAGATACTATGAGAAATACATAATTACCACAATTGGAGAATCACTATGCTTCTGAGCGTATTTAAAGTATTGTGAAGTCCTGTCATTACAAACAATGAAGCACACCAGTTTAATTATGCATGGTGTAGCACTTAAATCAGTCATCTTACTTCATCAGAGAACACTTTTCTACAATATCTAATACCTCAACTACCTAGTCTTTCATAAAATACCTTTGGGAAATGTTACTTCTATTCAGTTTCTTCACTTGATAAATGAAGAATCCAAACTCAAGGGTGGGTGAATGATCGCAAAAAGCCAGGCAGTAAGAAGCGAACCAGAACTAGATGTGGCTCTTTCTTCCCATTCCTGATTTATTTTTGTTAGCAAACTTTATAAGAATAAATTAGGTATTTAAAATCAAAAGTCAATTTTAGGTGTCATTTAGTCACCTATATTACACATTTTTCCCTAAAATTCCAACTTTACCAAGGAATAAGTCAACACTGCTAAAAATATCTCAACACTCAAAAATGATAATTTTTATATAGTTCTACTTTATGAGGCAAAGGTTTTTAAGAACTCAATTGATATCAAATACTTAATTCTGTCATAAGCAACATGTTTTATTTCAAAATATAGAAATCTATTATTAAGACAGTCGATTTAAAACACAAAATTTATTTCTTTAAATTCAGGAGTGATCCATATGTAGACTACTTAGAATCCTGACTGGACAAAATTTAGAAACTAACAACACTGATTCCACAAACATATTAGATGTCTTTTAGTGTTAAAATAAATAGATTACAACTTCTGCAAAGCAATTGTAAGAGATGTCCATTATTACTACACATTATCACCCAGCATGACACTTGCAGTTTTATCATAAATAGGAAGGTCAAGAGGCTTCCTGTAAATTTCAGAATTTTATATGCTAAAAGCGGTTACTTAGAATGAGTTCATGTACTATAAACCAAATTGCTTGTACTTACTCCCACTATTTCTCAAAGTTTCTGAAGCTTAGATGTGTTGGTTTTGATCTATCCTCAATGTATTTATCAACGCTTTTGGAGAATAAACATTAAAATTACTAACTGATGACAGTTTCAGGGCAAAGTGAAAGCAAACAGTGCTTAAGTCCCCGAATGCTGGTTTTTGTTGCTCTGTCATATCATAGAAAGCCTTTCAGAATTTAAAGACACCTATCCACAAGAGTGCAAATTTGATCCCTACACAAAGAAATTTTAAAACTTTACATACAAAATAAACTGGCTTTCAAAATACACAAATCAGACTTTAAACTCATACCAATGACACATTCTGCTCCACCAAGGTTCTTTAAGAAAATACATTAAGCACCACACCTAGGAGTTTAAAATAATTTTTACTCTAATAATAATGCAATACCTTGTATATGATTTTCTCCGCTTCATTTAAAATGCACGGAGTCCAATGTTCATTTGTAGTCTAAAAGAAAAAGGAGGATTTCTCTTGAAAAGCCATACAACAATGTACCTAGTATTTGTAGCAGTAACAAAAAATTTAGGAATAGGGCTGGCAAGATGGCTTGGCAGGTAACAACACTTAACTGAGCCTATCAACCTGAGCTCAATCCCAGTACCTACATGACAGAAAGAGAGGACTGACTCCCACAAGTTGTCTTCCCCCCTTCACACAAGTGCCACAGAAAACATAAACACATACGGATGCATATACGTGTGTACACACACACATAATAAATGTATAAAACAAGTTTAAAAGGTCATCTAGATAATGTTGGGTAATGTTAGCTGCTTTTCTACATATTTATATAAGAAAATCAAGAAGCAACAAGAAATAAATTTGAAGAAAATATAACTCAGTTGCATTCCTTCATTCATAAAACTATCACTGGGCTACTACAGGTCGGAAATGTGGAAACAGGTATGACTGGAAAAGGGGGGCCAGCATATACACTGTGAAGGTAAGACGTTCTTTTTTTTTTGAGTTTATTTTATTTTTATGTGTATGAATGTATTGCCTTGCACGGATGTACGTACACCTGTATCATGCAAAGCCCAGGAAGTCAAAAAAGCACATCAGATCCCCTGGAACTGGAGTTAAGGATGGTTGCTAGCCTCCATGTGGGAGCTGGGATTTGAACCCAGGTCTTCTGCAAGAGCAGCCAGTGCTCTTAACTGCTAAGCTATCTCTCCAGCCCCTGAAAGTATACATTCTTAAAAATAAAAAAGTTACCATAAAAGTAAAACTGAGGTGACAGTAAAACTGAGGAAATCACAGCATGACCAAATTACAGCATGGTTGGCAGGGCCAGGAACTAACATCTAACAGCAAGGGCAGTGATGAACTGGTTAAATCAGTTCAAAAGGGTCAGAATGCAAAAGGGTGGGAGTCAGCCAGAGGTGGAGAAAGAAGGGCAGTGCAGGCTGGCAGCTCTCAACAAGCCTTTTGGAAAAAAGGGGAAAGGGCAGAGGTTAAGTCTAAGGAGAGGTAGGGCATGGACAAAGAAGCAGTCTTTTAAATTTCATTGAGGAAAAAGAGCCAAGAATGTGCGTAACTGCTTATAAGAGATCAGGAAAAGAGAAAGGAAAGTTGAATATCTGGGGAAGGCAGCAACTAATGGAAAGAAGAAAGAGAGGAAGGTAAGGAAGAAATGGATTCCTGAGACGTGGGGAAAATGAGACCTGGAAGATCTAAACACAGAAGTTAGGCTGTTACTGGAAAGATGGAAGAAGAGAATGCTACGGCTACCAAAGCGGCAGAATACCCGACAGTGATACCCAGTAGCTGAAGCAGGAAACAACTGGACCAAGCAACGTGCCACATGCTTTACACAGACTAACTCTCTTAATCATCACAAAAAACTGAAAAGTAGGCACTTCTGAATCAGTGGGTAAATGTAGTTAGATAGGAAATCAGCACAGTAACTAGGATAACATACTACAGATCTTTAACAAGATACAGTGGGGGGTGGGGCACAGAAGAGAATGGTAAATTCTAAGAGAAAAGTAAAAAATTAACAATAAAAGCAGGACACCATATCATTGAAGTTTTAAAGCCTGTCTAGAACTACCAGGTAGGCAAAAAGAACAGTCATATAGGCAAATATAACGGCATGAACTCTCAGCAAAGACACAGAGAATCATACAACAGCATACACTAAGGAAACTATACACTGTTTCTTCTCACTATGCCCAAAGCTATTTTCTACTCTCTGTTTTTGTCGGGAGCTCAAAGCTAAATAGTATGCTGCTTATGAATACAACTATTAGGCTACGTTTTCTGGATCAGTCATCTCTCTGCCCTTGAGAACTCAGCTTCTGGTCTCTCAAAAGGAATCCCTACTGTACACTTCTCTTTTTTTATTAAATGCGTTCTGGAAACGGGCAGGGGATCAACGCAGCACTTTCTTTGTGTCTCTTGCCTCTACGGTTTCTGCCTTGTCCCTCAAGCCTACTTCACTACACACATCATTGTGTTTCCACCTTAGCCATGCCCTTCTTTCTGTTCCTCTGCTGGTCTTCACCTTTCTACTTCTCTTCCTCTTCCCTGAGTGAGGCCTCTCCCTATGGCAAAACGTAAGAATAACTGTCCACAGTATGATTTCTTCTTCACTTCCCTTAACTTTAAAAGCATCTAAGCAAACCATGTCTTTTTTTTCCACAGAGAAACCTAATTTAACTAGTTGCCTTTACCTCTATGTATCCCAGACATATTTGCTAGCACTTAGTTACTTAGAACAGAAAAAAGCCCATCTGCATATGTATAACTCTCTCCCCTTAAAATGTATGAGAAAAACTAATTTTTTTATATTTTATTATTTTTATTTTATGTGTATGAGTGTATTGTCTGCATGTAGGTAAGTGCACCCGTGTTGTGAGAAAAACTAATTATGGGAATTATCTAGTCAAAATGGATAACAATATATATCCCAGTGTAATATACACACATACATATATAACATACAGACTCACACACATGCACATATACACACATACATACATACATACATGCATACACACACACACACACACACACACACACACACACACACACACAGAGCTGTCTGGAGATCCCATGCAACTATACCAAGCATGAGTACAGAACGCTACAGAAACTCAATCATCTTTTTCCCCACAGATATAAGATACCACTTTCATTTCTTCCAAACTGCTTGAGATTTGTTATATGTAAACATAAAAATAATCAAAATAATTACAAAATGTAACAGTATCACTAAAACTGATAAATAGAAAATCTGCAGCAAGAGAATTCATGAGAAATAGCTGTTTGTAGCAATAGTTTATTTTAGGCAATTCAGCTATGACCAGAATAATATTAACATGCTTCACACAAATTATAAATAAGCCAACCTTACCAATAAACTAAATTCTCCCAGTGTGACACCAAATGAAAGAGGCCTCTCCGGATCTGTGATCTACCAAGAAGAAAAGGGATATTAAAACAAGATGGTGAGAGAGCACATGTCCCACCCTTTAAAACAAAGACATGTGTCTACAAGGAAGACACACAACCCAACTGGATTTGTAAAAAGAAAGGAAAAAGGCCTGACTGCTTGCTCTTATACAGGCATAACAATCTCTATGATAGTAGCATGTTTTCCCAGTAGAACTCTTTCTTGCTACAAGTAAGGAACTCAGTAACTAGGACCAAACAGATTCTTCTTTAGATGCTTAGAAACAGTCTTTCATGTGTATCATTAAAGATGTTCTTCATAGAAAATAAAATAGGGTGTTACAGGTGATGGCATCACCACTAAATAAGTGCTCCAACATTTAAGATTTTTACTCTCAGAAATGTGAACTGTAAAAGCTTTTACTTTCCTTGACACCTGATTTGGAAAAACTTCTTGGATACTTGATTTGGAAAAACTCTAGGTTTGGAGAGGTTTGTTTTGTTTTATTTTTCTTGACGCAGATCACTCTGTAGTCCAGGCTGGTCTTGAATTTGCAATCCTCCCGTCTCAGCCTCCCTAGTCCTGAGATTATGCATGGATGTGCACCATCTTACCATACCTGGAACTCACTACGCAGACCAGACTGGCCTCCAACTCATAGAGATCTGCCTTCCCTTGCCTCCCTAATGCTGGGATTAACATGACATGAGCCACACTACCCAGCTCTGAAGTCTTAATATTTAATTTCTCTAGTCTATCTACCCAGAATCCACCAATGATAAAGCACTTCTCTGTTTCTAACATTTGATACATGATATTTATACATGGTGCTTAATCTGTGCCACAATGTGCACTGTCGTTGAACTGTGAATATATGTGTGTGAATGTATGAGTGTATAAGAATGTGTTGAGTGCATAAGAATGTATGAGTGTGTGTGAGTGCATGTGTGGGAATGCATGTGTGAGTTCGTGTATATGTGCACGTGTGTGTGTTGTATGAGTATGCTTGTGTATTCATGTGTGCGTGAGAGAGAGTTACTCACCTTTTGATAACTACTTCAAAATAACTTAGAACTAGTTCAGAATGATGTATCTCCACAATTGCTAACATACTGCCTACAAGTGACTACAATCATCCTATGAGCATTTCTTATATTCTGTATTTCTCATATACTCCTAGACACAATAATTAAGGTACTATACTGAAAGAGACATGATATAAATCCCCTTTGTATTTTTAACTCCATTTTAATCTCCATATACTTGTTACAAAGAGAGAAGCAGTACGCCTTTCTAACTTTATTTTCAACAGTAAAAAGCTCAGTTTATGTTCAACTGAAGTTATCTTTCAGTACATATCATTAGAGTATTCTTGTTGATTTTTAATTGACAATAATTATACATATTTAAGGAGCATAATGTGACGTTTATTTATATTTTTTTCACCATGGAAGGATTGAACCTGGATAATCAACATGTACATCACCTCACATTTATCACTCCCTTGCGGTGAGAACATTAAAAATCTCTTCCAGCAATTCTGAAATAAACATTACTGTCACTTACAGTGACACTGCTGTGCAACACAACACAGAACTTACTCCTTTTGCGTGAAACTTTATCTATTAACAAATCCTGGCTTCCAGTCCCCACTTTCTAATAAACATTATTCTACTCTCTGCGTTTGACTCTTATAGACACCACATATAAGTGAGACCGTGCAGTACTTTTCTATGTGTGACTGGCTTGTTTCACTTAAAAGTGATCACCAGTTCCATTCACGATGCTGTAAATGACAGAACTGTCTCTGTTTTAAAGTCAAGCAGTAGTTTACTGTGTGAATGTCTAACATTTCTGTTGTCCTTTCATCTGTCCACAAGCATTTCGGCCATTTCCATATCTAGGCTACTATAAACAGTAGCTGCAGGTTCCTCTTAAAAATACTTTATTCAATTTATTTGGCTACATATCAATAAATCAGTTTCTAGATCTTATGGCACTCTTATTTCTAATTTCTGGGGGAAAACAACCCAGCTTTCCAAAATAGTTACAATTTACACTGACACAGTGTAGAAACATTCCCATTTCACCTTAAAGTTTAACAAAAACTCTTTCACTTCCATGTGTTGAGTAGTTTGTTTTCCTGAATTTACTATAAACAAGAGCATTTGAGTTATGTTTTGCAACACAATTGTTAATACAATTCACCTTAATAACTTCAGAAAGCCAAAAGACAAAGTGAGCACTAGAGTGTTTTCTCTAAAACAATAAATGTGTCTTACTGAATATCACTAACAGAGGACCTAGGAAAGGAAGATAAGATCCCTGTGTATCAGTAAGCTTTTAATCCAGTCAGCCTTAAAGCAGGTTAAAAACAAAAGAGAATCCAAGTAACCTAGGTGAAGACTGGTTGCTAAAGCCAGTGTGAATACCCGTAGGCGGTTGACTCCAACTCCACGGACTGCTGAAAGAACGGAACTCCACTGACTAGAGGCTCCTTTCTGCTGACTACTGTCACCAATAGTTATTTTATCACCTTTCAGAGCTAATTTTGTTGTCAATATAAAGCAACATCTATATAAACAACAGAGAACAATCCATTCAGTGGTTCATGCTCTGTTTATGCGTGTGTGCGCCCAATTATCACAGTCTAACACACATTTAACGACCAACTTGGAAAACTGAAATTACTTACATCATCTTCGTATTTAATGTGAATGTCTGTGATTTTCACTTGTACATTTTTTATCACTTGGGTTGCCAATTTTTCCAAAAATGTATCCTTTTTTGCTTCTTTGGGCTTATCTATAAAAAATAGAAAAATACAAGCTCAAGAGGTGCAAGTCTCACATACTTCGCAACCGATGACCAAAGGCGAACTATGGTATTACCCAACAGAAATCACAACCCGTTTAGATTCATTTTAGATTTTAATATGTGGTTCCAAGTTAAAGCTTATTTTTGAAGTTAAACTGTAATCTAACATTTGTTTTACCTTCCAAGACAGAAATGAAGTGGCAATGTGTATAAACAGCACATGGCAGAAAAACTACTTTTACCTACCTTTGGAGCGATCAAGACCTTTAAAACGTTTCTTAAAATGTTTTTTGTGCTTTTTACGCTTACGTCCTTCTCAGTGGAAGCATTTTAGTGAGAAAAGGATAAAATTCAAGTTAGCAGACAAGAGGACAGAAAAGAAAATAAGAGACTTCTTCCTCATAGTAAACCTTAGTACAACTCACCTTACCTTATTACTGACCTGTTACTTCAACACAGACACAAACTGACAAGCTTTCTTTAGTCTAGAGTAACATTCTTGCATGAATTAACTTGGCAGGTAAAATTATGCAAATAATGGGTGAAATATCAATTCTGAATGCCTTTTTAATATTTATAACCTCACAATAAAAAGTTTTACTTTCATCTCAATGTTACCAAAATATTGGAAATGTAATAATGACAATCTAAAACCTTCTGGGAAAGGTTTTTGATCAATGTGTGGCAGGGACACAGGACTAACAAATAGAATGAATGGGCAGGGTGCTGATGGCCTCTCTGGATGATACACCCACAACAAAATTGCTTAATGATATATGTTATAGCTCATAAAGTATAAGAGCATAAAATGTCTATTGAACAATACATTCAAAGTTAGTTGAGTAATTCCTTTAAGACCTCATCTTTTTTTACTTAGCATTTTCATGTTAGTCAACACCATACTCTGTTCAACTGGAAGTTGGGCATTACCTGAACTCCTGAACTTCTAAGACTGTCCCTACATGATCTCCTGACTCTGCCCTCCATCCTCACCTCCTGCTAAAGGGCCTTTTGCACTAACTCTTCCAAAATAATAGCCAAGCCTGTTAATCCCCTGTTCAAAATCATCGAAAAGCTCTCTGCAGCCTGCCAAACAGAATCAAATGTGTTTGCACAATACAGACCTGGTCCACCTCCCTTCCTTCTCTGCCTCCTGTCACTCACCCTTGCATGGGAAGCTACAGAAGTGTCATTTGTAATTTCCAAAACAGGCATAACTCTAATACCTAATGCCCCCATATACATCATTCTATCAACTAGGTAAATTCAAGGAGGCTTCACTATCTCTGTCTAGCACAACCAATGCCTGTGTGAAGCTTTACACGGCTCCTCTAATCATCTGAGGGCCTGTACCTTACACAGAATTCTAAAAAACATCAAGTGTTTGCCATTTTTTTAAATGTTTGCCATTTTCTTGCCACTGGGCAGCAGGTTCCCAACCAGCAGGAGGCTTCCTTAGGACCAGGATTTGCATCTAAGCAAAAAGTACACATTTGTCTATTCAAATGAATCCAAAAATCCACATTTGAACATTTATTATTATAAATGTATAGATGTGAATATATTTGAAAATATATTTGAAATTTCTCCTTTGTTGATATTTATAAATTGTCCTACAAAATTAAGAAGCAAACTCTGATTGCAAGAATAAACACTATGTTTCAAAAGGAAAATGTTGAGAGGGCAGCAGAGATGGCTCAGCAGTTAAAAGCACTGGCTGTTCCTGCAGAAGACATGCCAGAAATCCCAGCAACCACATGGCAGCTAACAGCTATCTATAATCCCAGTTCCAGGAGATCCAACACCCTCTTCTGTCCTCCACAGGCACTACACAAACAGGTACACTTATATGCAGGCATAGGATGCATACATACAAAATAAAAATAAATTTTAAATTTTTAAAAATAAGAAAACATTCAGGAAGTAGATAACAGAATCTGGATGGCACAGATACAATTGTTTCTTATCACAGTGACAGCTTCAATTCATTCCATTCGTACACCAAACATACAGAAAAGGGCTGAGTTCTCAAACACCATTTGCAAAGAAGAAAGCAAGCTAGCCTTGCTATGAAACTCCTTCCACTTAGTTGGAGTCAGGCATGGATTCCAGCTTCATAGTTGTGTAGCCCCACAGTCTACCTTTAATCTCAACGTTAGGGGCACAACATCAGTCATCCCTAAATGGTTTCAAATCAAATATAGTGCTACAAGGTTACTAAAGAAAGTTCCTAATTCATCTAAAAAAGAATATATTTATGATTCTTAATCACAGCAAAGAAGTTCTCAAAGCTTTGGTCTCCGGACTCCTTAACCCACATTTAAAACTTGAGAATACTAAAAAGATTTTACATCTGTTATAATTATTATTTATCATTCCATAAATAAAATTATAAAAATATTTTTCTTGGGTCAAACATGATGACGCATGCCATTAATCCAAGCATCCGAGGAGGCAGAAGCAGGTGGATCTGTGTGAGATCAAGGTCAGTCTGGTTTAAAGAGTTCCAAGACAGTTGAGACTACAGGCATACCCTATGTCAAAAAAAAAAAAAATCTTAACTCATTTAAAATAATTCACCATTAACCATTACTTGATTGCATATAGTTATGAATGAAAAGGATATATATCATAAATAAAAAGCTGTAGTGAGAAGAATCGTATGATTACAAACTCCTGTAATGTCTGGCTTTGTAGAGAGAGCTGCATTCATGTATCTGTTTCTGCCTTCAGTCTGTTGAGGTACGCTGTTCTGACTGAAGTACATGATGAAAATAAGATTTCAAAGCAGATATGTAACTGGAAAAGGAAGCATGTTCTCATGGCCTTTTCGTGTAATTGTGGGTTCTTGCTCAAGTTCAGTAAGTGGTTTCTAAAAGGTAGTTGCATCATGGAATCTGAAGTGTTACTAATGAGATAGTGAGCAAAATAAAAACAATTGGTTCACCTTGCATATCAAATGGGCTTTCACATATGCATGATTTCTTACTTACCGATAATATGGAAAGATTGCTTCAATTAATTAGGGAAACCTTCCAAATGTTAAGTCATTTCATTATCTAACATCAAGAGTTCCATTTGTTTATATTACCACCAATCTTATCAGGAAAGTCTGTAAGTCCCAGGAAACTCACTGTCCAGCCCAACATGGTAAATAGAGGTTTATTTTATTTTTATTTATTTTATTTTATATTTTATTTTATTTTTATGAGTGTTTTGCCTGTGTGCATTAAATGCATTGTGCAATGCCCACAGAGGCCAGAAGAAGGTGACGGATCCCCTGGAACTGAGGGCTATTAGCCACCATGTGCTGGGAAGCAAACTAAACCCAGGTCTGAGCTATCTCCTCTTCAGACCCTAGAGGTTCCTCAACATTCTAATGTCTCTTTAAAAAGCACAAAGCTTTATCATTCAAATCTGCTGGTTACTTTTACTTTGTTTTGCTCAAGAGTATCTACATGTCAAAACTTGAATCACGATCTGTCAATCATTCTTTCATGTAAAAATGACCTTTTTCCATAAAAAAGCAACTAATTCAGCTCACAATTTACACATCTGCACAAGTAATCTTCATCAAGACAGTCAATCCACTTCAGCATACACAAATGCTTTATGAATACTTTCTTTTATGACACATACTATTAGAGATCTTGACTGGGTCTCTAATAAGAGTTGAATTTATTAAATTTTAAAAATATTTTATTTTATTATTAAAATTAAAATCCTGTGTCATCATTAAAAAATTTAAGCAATGCCAGCCCATCTTGCTTTCTTTTGCTTTTTTAATGAGGGCACAACAAGGACCACAATGACCACTGGAGCAGTGGGGCTGCTTTGCACCAGGCTAAAGCAGCAGCAAGGGGACAAGCCATTGCTTCTGGACCAGCACACAAAAACCAGCTCAGGGAAAACTTAAATGCTTTAATACCATGAAAATGGCTCTTACTTTTTGAGAATTACTGCTCTAAAGAAAAAAAAAAAAAAAAGAAGAAGAAGAACAAAACTAACATTAATGAGGAAAGAAAATGCACTCAGAAATCAGAAGGGGAAAGGGGAGGTGTCATGAAGAGCCCCCAGCTCCTATCCAACAGAATGAAGACATCAGCATCACATGAACTGTCCTCATTCCAGAATCACCAACACTCTGGACCTCACTTTTTATCCAGGCTAGCTCCCCTTTAAAACCAGGGAGGGGAGGAAAAGAAAGAGAGAGAGAGGAGAGAGAGAGAGAGAGAGAGAGAGAGAGAGAGAGAGAGAGAGAACAGAGGTATTTCAATGGGTCCCCAGAATTCATCAATATCTCAAAAGAAGTTTACTCCTAGGAGAATCAGAAAACACTGCCCCTTGTGGGTTCCCTACAACCTATCAAACTGCACAGCGGGCAGTGAGAATTCCGAAGCTGCTCTCTGTACAGAGCAAGGTAACAAATTAGCACAGTCAGCCACACTTACTACAGGGGTAGCTTTGTTAAAGGAGAAACTAACTCTCAGGATAAGTTCCCTTAATGCTGTGAATCTGCCACAAAAATTCTTCCCATTGGCAAAATAAATGTATATATTGAAGAAGTTTCTATCTGCAGAAGAATCCTAACATAACACTATTTAAAGTTTGAGATGTAGACACCATTTATCAGTTAATCAAAGCAAATTTTAAGTATGGTC